ATCTCAAGAGGTAGAGATAGTCCTTTAACATACATCTCAAGAGGTAGGGATAGTACTTTAACATACATCTCAAGAGGTAGGGATATTACTTTAACATACATCTCAAGAGGTAGGAATAGTCTTTTAACATACATCTCAAGAGGTAGAGATAGTCCTTTAACATACGTACATCTCAAGAGGTAGGGATAGTCCTTTAACATACATCTCAAGAGGTAGGGATAGTACATACATCTATAGAGGATATTTAGAAAAAGAACTGGATATCTTATATATCCAGTTCTTTTCTTACATTCGTTAATTTCGTCTATATAAATTAAACGTACTTTAAACTGTTACCGTAAGATCTATCCAAAGAATAATATTTTTGTTTTATTAAATACAAAACTTTAAAGAGACTGTTGGCTTATTTTCAAGTGAACTTCCATTTAAAAAGATAATGCCCGAATAACAACTTTAAACCTCAATGTTTGAATATGAAATGATGAATAAAAATTTTTAAAATCGCAGCCTGTTTCTTTAAAGTTTAGCTGAGCATAATGTTTGTTCCTTATCAACTCCCTAGACTGGTTTTGTTTAGGGTTTACTAACAAACATGATTTTAACCAAATTCATTTCATTTTTATAAATCCTATTCAATTCTAGCGTGTAGATAGTCTTGGTTCTTAATTAGGTTATTAGTAAAAATATCTAAAACATGGATTTTTTCCAATTGTTTTAGTATTCCTTCCACTGCAAACTAGACTGAAGGAGAAAGTCAAATTGATGCAACATTAATGGTGCGACTTTGTGACCTTGTAGCCAATTTTACAAACAAATATGCTATATCTCATATATTCAGTTACATATGGAAATTTAAAAAATAGTTTTCTTTAATTTATTAAAAGGAGCAAAAAATACACAAGTTAAATTTACTTTAGTTTAGCGTGCTTATGTTCAAATTACTTTAGTTTAGCGTGCTTATGTGCAAATTACTTTAGTTTAACGTGCTTATGTTCAAATTAAACAGCATAAACTTTAAACTTATAATTCCAGGAAACTTCGCGTCCCTGATTCTGTTTAATGATTCTAGATGTTTTGTGCTATTCTGCATGCAAGAATTTTTCAAACAGAATTAAATCAAACCTTATTTTCTTTAAATTCTTTGGTCGTCTCGTCTTTTTTTTTCAAGAGTTTCAAGGCATAATTATTCTCTGTCAAAGCACAATTTACAACGGTACCCTTGAACCCCCTTATCAGATCAAAAGTTTTGGAGAAAAAATAATGCGGAAATTTACATAGTTTTTCTAGCTATAAAGTAATTATTTTATTTTAGCACTCATGCAGTAAGTGAGCAGAGTACGGCCCAGACCAAAGTTCAGATGCAGATTGTTGAACAGCTTGAACAGCAGCTAGGGAAAGAACAGAGTAGGCTTGAAGCTATGCTGGGACATCTTCAGCATATCCAGGCAGCTAGAGGGGTGGGTCAATCTAGATCAACAGGTAGGGGAGAAGATATTAAACTGTGGGGGGGGGGAAGGTTGCGGATTTTTCCGATTTTAGGTACTTTCCCAATTGCATTATCCCAAGCAGCAACTTCCCAAAGTTTTTTCACCAAGTGACAACCTCCCAATTGCGCAATTTTCCATTTGGCAACTTCCCAAGTCTGTCCTAGTATTTTTACAACTTCATAATGCCACTCGGGAATGGACTTGGATACAACTAATATTTAGGAAAGTTAAATAAAAAGGTATTAATTTTCAATATATCGAAGCAAAGACAAAAATCATGTTTATATACCATAAACATGTTTTTTATCGTAAAGTTTTCAAAAAAAACTTTATCCCTAGTTTATGCACGGAATTACCTATAAACTCCACGAAAACAACTGATATTTTGCCACAAACTCAGATTTGTTATAAACCCATTTTAGTTTTGGAACCCGATGTTCAAGACCTTTGATATTATGAGTTTGTGGCAAAAACTAAGTTCCTTTGCAAGACTATTTGGATTTTTTTTTAAATTCATTTTTGAAGACGGTTTCTGCCAATATGACTCTTGGAAATCTTTTGATTCCTTATTTCTAATTCCAAACAATCCCTTAACAAGTCAACGCAGCAATTACTGATAAAAAATATGTTATTCAGATTATTATACAGCAAAAATTAAAAAATGGAAATAATTTTTTAATGGTAATAGATCGATTTCAACAACACTGATTATAAGAAAAATAACATTATCTTGAAAAAACACGTATTATTGCAGTAAACATAGTTAACAAATTATATTGGGATAAAATAAAAAATTGAGAATAACAAAACTAACGAGAATTCTAAATAGTATGCAAAGTGAACATCTCATTAGTTGGAAAAGTATCAAAACATATTTTTATATCATGCACATCCTTAGTTCTTCTAAAACGTACGTACAAAGCTAGATATAATAATAATAATACTGAGAAGGAGGAGGAGGAGATGGGAATATAGATCAGAACAGAGACTTCTACAAACTTCAGGATGTTCGACCTCCGTACACATACGCTGCTCTCATACGTCAGGTAGGAGGCAAACTTTGTGACCCTTTCAAGGGACTGTCCAGGTAATTTCAAGTGACCATCCATTTTTAAAATCACTTGCTCGATTCAAAAGAACAGAAAAGCAAGGATATCCTAGATTCTGATCCGAAGGTCTAAGATACTGTTGTGAATCGGGCATGCAACTATCAATTGGACGGTCATTAAAAATTACGTTAACAGTCACTTTAATAAAATTGATTTTCAGTAATACTAACTAAAATTGTAAGGGAAAAAATATTTGTTGAAAGATCTCTTAATTTATTGGATGTCAGGCTATTCTGGAGTCAGCGGGGGGTCAACTTACTCTCAATGAAATATATTCCTGGTTCTGTGAAAACTTTGCTTTCTACCGACACAACACGTCTAGCTGGAAGGTGAATCAGCTGGTGACGGTTGCATGTTAATCTTCTAGTTCTAGATCTTGACAATAGGTGGATCTTCATCCAGATGCAGCTGATTTGTATAACCTTTGTATAACCTTCATTTGTAAATCTTGAAAATCTTAAAACTTTTTTCCAGGTGTAAAGCTACTCTTTGCATGATAATTTGATACTAGGTGGAGCCTCAGTGCATGATTTCTTTAAGATAGTGAATAAATGTTAGGATAAATATCGGATTTAGGAAAAAATAATTTTTTGCTGTTAATCGCTGATTAACTTAATGCAGTTGTTCGCTGATTCATGATACTTTGCAAAAATCATTTTTATTATCTAAATATATGAAGTTGTAATCTCTAATTGTTTGTCCGATCATAACTCTGGAACCCCTAGAACCGATTTGCCTCAACTTTTGATTGGGAAACTCGGGAGACCCACGGGAATCTTCTTAGCTTGGTTTTGAGATTCTAAGTTGAGTAGGTCGACATTGATAGCTAAAATACAGTTTCCCGTTAAATCGTTCAGCGGGTAAACGGCTAGAGTAACTTTTACTAACCTGGGCAGCGCTGAGTTCCCAAGCTAGTTAGATTCTTTCATTTTAAATATTTCTTACAATATAGGTAAAATGCGGGTTCCCTGTTTTTCATGAAATTCTCTCTGAAAGAGTTTTTCTCTTAAAATGATTTAGCATTCATTATTTAGTGTATAGAGAATTGTTCAATTCTTTAGGTATCTTTTATTCAAAATTTTACTATTTTGATCAGAGACTGTTTTAGGCTATAAACGAGTCTAAAGAACATCAGCTGACTTTGAACGAAATTTACAACTGGTTCCAGGCCAGCTTTGCCTTCTTTAGGAGAAATGCCGCAACGTGGAAGGTAGACCGGGATCGAGATTGTGCGTGTCGTCTTTGTTTTGTATTTTGTTCTGTTTATTTGGTTTTAGTTTTATAATAAGTGTGCCTGTTTGTTTGTTGTTTACTTTTGACCATTTGTTTGCATTTATTTTAATTCCATGGCTTCTTTTATATTCAACAAAAAGTTTATTCTTGAAATGGAAATGACATGTTAAAAATGTTAACGCTGCATCTTGTATTAACAAAGATTTCTTTCTAAACTCGCCAAAAAAAAGGGTAAAAATACCCATCAGCTGTATTTTTAAAGTGGTGCTCATACTAATTTTTAAATATTATTTGGCTTATCAAATTTCATCGTGACAGGCTTAAATACTATTTACAATTTTGTGTAAAACTTATCTAAAATTAATCATCCAAATTAATTACAGCAGGCACGCCATTCAGCAAAGATTTTCCTCTCGTTGGCTTTGCATAATTAATGTTTGGCATTTACTGGATAATTTGCATGAATCTGAGAGATATCAATGAAAATAAATATAAAAAGAAAAATTTCATTTTTAAATATTCTTTTCAACTAATGCATTAGTTTTGTGAATTTTGTCGCTGGGTTCCTTGAATGTCGAAATGTATCCTAGGAATTTGCACAACATTTTTGTTTTGTTTACTAATTTTTCTCACATTTGTTTTCACATTTTAAGATGTATGTTTCTTATCGCTAAAAATGTGACACGTCACATAACGTGAATTCCACGTAAGATTGAAGTCTTATATGTTTTCAATCATGAATTGTACATTTGTGCATGTTTTCATAACAATTATTGTGCATGGTTATTTGCTAATCTTTTTTATTGTTTCATGTTTTATATTAATTTCAAGCTATTTATTTTTTTATTTTGTGCATGTTTTTTATTATAATTGTTGTGCATATTAATTTTCGAATTTGTTTTTTATTTTGTGCATGTTAATTTTACAGTTTAAATATGTTAATTTTACAGTTTGAATATGTTAATTTTACATTTATGCATGGTTTTAAAACAATTTTTGTTCATTTTTATTAAATATTTTTGCATGTACGTTTTTTAACAACTATTAAGCATGTTAATTTTTAAGTATTTAATTTGTTCATGATATATTTGCATTTAGACTTGTTTAATTACAAAATTAATATGCATGCTAATGTTACAATTTGTTTGTTTTTAAATTTAAATTTATTAATATTATTGAATTCTTCGTTATGAACAGTTTAGTGATAATATCAAATCTTAAATATTGTTACAATCTTTTTTTCACTTTGCTTGAAAAATTGCCATGTTTTTTATTTAAAAGTCATCTTTTCCGAAAACAATTAATTTTAAATCGCTACAAAGTCAAATTTTTAAATCCTTTTATCTTTGTAACCTGAGCCGGCGATTTAAAAAAAATTCAAGAAAATACGACTCAGGTCTAAGCTGTTGGTCGGGTCGGGTTGCTCTAATTTTCAACAGAGTTTAGTTTATAAAACCCGTTTGATTTTGTATTTGGCGGATTTTCATAGTTGGAATTGGTGCATTCCGGGTTTTGATGAGAATAAGACCCAACATTGAGCCTTATTCTTCACTAAAACCAACCAAGGTCGGTTTTATTTTCATTGGGCTTAACTCCTTAAGTCGAGCCTAAGATCTCTCAGCTGTCAATCACGTGACACAAGCTGTCGTCGGAGTTGGGTCTAAGATTGGATCTTAAAGCTGCGTTTAAGGAATTAAGACTCTAGCCGAAGCTTTTAAATCGCGGGCTCTACAACATTGGGTGGCAACTAGGAAAGGATTAAAAAAGGAGAGAGACTCAATTCCTATAAATATTTTTTTTAAAATAATGTTTGTCTTGTAGAACGCTGTGAGACACAATCTGTCCCTCCACAAGTGCTTCATGAGGGTGGAGAACGTGAAGGGCGCTGTCTGGACAGTGGACGAGACAGAGTTTCATAGAAGACGACCTCAACGATCCACAACCAGGTTAGTTAGGTCGTCTTTTTTTCTTATGTTTTTTATTTTTCCTACTCTCCCTTTTTTTGGTTACCTTCATGTTTTTGTCAATTTAATTTTGTCTCTCTTTCCCTCATTTGTGAAATCAGGTCTCTCCTTCTCTTTTTTAATAAGTAAATATGAAAACTCATGAAACGATCATATTTGTTCTAAAATATCTCAAAAAGCGTAAAATTTTCAACTATAACATCTTATTTTATTTCATATTTGGCTAATTCATACTTTATTTATCAGAAAGTGAACAATAGAAAATATGTGAAAAATGTATTAATCTATTAAAAATTTAATATTCTAAAGTTAAATATTTTTCTAAACCTATGAAAAACAAAAATGTCCCACCATTCTTTATTCATCCTGTTGCTCCTTTTTTCAAAGAACAATTGTTATTAATAAATTTGTTTTTTTTATATTTCTTTAGAAGATTTTTTTTTTTGAAAGAAGGTTTTACTTTTTAAAATGTCTTCTATACTCTCCTTACTTCGTATCTTTTTTTTCAATGTTTATCCTTCTTTTCCATTTTTCCCCAATATGCACCTCAAACTTTTCAGGACAGTGTACAATCCTGATTCATTTTCATTGTTCATTTTGGGGAGGGTCTAAATTGTATCAGTATAGTACGTATATTGTGCCTAAAGAAAAATATTAAATCATTACAAAAAATAGCTCTCTTTGTTTAATATTTTTATCCTCAATCCTATTATTTGATATTTTAAAATATTTTCTCAATTTTGATAAAATCTTATTTTGTATTGCTCAAAATATTTCAATTTAATTGAAGGATATTGCATAAATGTCTGAAAGGAAAATAGTAAGATAATGATAACAGATTAGGAAATTATTAATGGGACTGTTCGTCAATTCTTTGTTTAAAGAGACAGTAAACTAAATTTGAAGTGATCCTCCATGCAAAGATGCCCATGCCCAATACTCAACGGTACCCTTAAAATCTATGTCGTAAACTAATCCTGAATTATCTTTAAATGTTATGGTTTCTTCTGCAGGAAAACATATTAAAACCTAGAAAAACGACCATATCTTTCACATTATAGATCAGATAAAGGTTTCCATGGTGTACCGTTGTCATTACATATGTCAGACTTTTTATGGAATAAAAACATTTCTTGTTTGATCAGTATGACCAGTAAATCTCCTTCCTTGCCGTACAGTCACGGAGCCCAGTCCCCTGGTTCCTACACAAGCCAGGAGTCCTCTCAACTCCCTCACGAGGAGTCTTTTAACAGGTTGGGAGTCCTTTTTCATCAGGCATATCTCAACCCTTTACTTTCAGTCATATTTTTTACAATTAATAAAAGTTCTTGGAAACCCATGATAAAGTAGAATTACCTTACCTATCCTGTAAAATAGTTGTCAATAATTTAAAATTTTTTTATCAAAACTTCATAGACTGGGATGTTATTTTAATCAACTGCACCAAGGAACGGTTATGTGCCAAAACATTCCGGCATAGAAATAAATTGTGAGAATCATGGTTTGGTACTGTTGGTCAAAAGAAGAAAAAACTTCTAGATGCGTAACTTTGTTATTTAGGAGTCTTCAATCAGCTTTGGATAAGCTGGGAAGCGTGCAGTATGGAGGCCACGAAACTGGTTCTTCGAGGCCAAGAAACCTCCAGTATGAGAACAGAGAAGAGACAGCCTCTCCTCCAAGAATGTCTGACAGAGAATCACTGTAAGTTTAATCGCTATTAAGTTACTATATACAATATCCATTCTCAAGCCGTATATGACCATTCATTTAATTAAAAAATTTAGGTGTATTATGAAAAAAGTATTTTTAATAAACAAAAAAAATTAACGTTTAACCCTAATTTTTAAATCAAAATTTCGTAATCTTATTTCAACCACATTTTTTAATTTTAGTGTAAGCTCTCGATACAATTCATTTGGTCTCATCGCGAAGCATCATGGAACAGAGGTCAACACCCTTCTAGAAGCACGACTGCGCCCCATCTCTGCTGTTTCAGGACTGTTACTGGGAATGGAGAGAGAGTCAAGAGAAAGCCGCTCTGTGGAGTCACGTGAGGAAAATATGGACCAATCAGAATACAGCGAGGAGGAGTCTCAAAACAAAGACACACCTGAAGACCTTTCTATGGGCTCAAAGGAAGAAAATCATCCGCAAAGGAACTCAATAGAAAAATAAATCCACCATTGGAATAATTTTGTTTCATGCACAAACATACCGGTATCTCAAGTATAGATATATTACGTTACCTAAAGTTAAATTTTTGTATTATTTGTATATATATGTAGATTATTTCGTTTTTTGAAAAGAGACGCCCATGTTAATTCAACCAAATTATTTGCTTTCTAAATTATGTCAAACAGAAAATGAATGTTTCCCCTTTATTCTTTTATTAAAATCAAACATTATTAATATTTTAGCACACTTAAATATTTATCAAAGCATAGTCAGCTAAAACTAAACTGTTGTAATGTTTACACAATAACTGGTTTCATTATAAACATTTATGTAAAAGTACTGTACCTCAAAAATACGAGTTTATTGGCAGGGTTACCCTCTAAGGTTAAGATACTTCAGAGACGACTGTAATGTACGGAATTTATACTGTCTGTTTCCTCATATTATATTTAAACTTGTTTCTTTCTTTGCGAGATCACAAAAAAATACCAAAAAGATTATTTTCAAGGCAGAATTTTTAATTTAATCTTGAAATAGTCGCCTTTACAGTCTCATCCTTTGTGGGTAACCCTGTAAATATATGAAACTAATGAAACAACATTTGTTCCTTCGTTTTGCTATGTTTATTATTTAATGAGTTGTGCAGTTAGACAATTTGGAAAACAATTAAAATAATTCCTTTCCCCTGCTCAATTTAACAAGAATGAGAAGTCATTATGAAGGAAGCAAAAGTATTTTAAACAGGTTTTTTTCATTCTTTTTCAAATTACAGGAACTGTAAGCGATAATTTGAGGGGACATTCCTATTCCATGTAGAGATGGCCGTGTCCTATTCAAAACTGTACCTTTAAAAGCTTTGTTTGATCAAGTATGAATTAATTAAATATCAATGTTTATAATTTTGTAAACTGATTACTTTCTTTACAAAAGTATTTTTAGTGTAGGAAATCATGAAGGAATTTTCAGAATTAAACACTTCTATACCCGAGGAAACGACAATATCTTCTATATTTTTTATCAGATAAATGGTTCAAGGGTTCAGTTATGAATCGGGAATTGCCGTCTGTGCATATAGGGTCAATTAAAATTGCGCGTATAGTCCCTTTTAGAAACTTAAAAATAATTTTGCGCTTAACTCTGTATGTAGTTGTTATGGACTTAAAGATAAAGACACTGCCAACCCAACAGTGGTGAACGAAAAACCTAGGGATGTATCTTTTACCATGAAATAATCAGAGAAATCAAGAAACTCAACCCAAGTTACTATTTCCATTGGCAACCTATTGTTGTAGTCCTTCTAAATATCTCAATCTATGATATATCCAAGGTTTACTAGGAGTTCAGTCCCTTCAGAAAATCCACAAGATTTGAAGCTTCTTTCTACAGCCACGTCATTTTGCCAATAGGACATAAACTTTCATCCTTTAAAATTCAGTTTTTTAAACTAAGAATATTTTAATTTTGGCTGTAACTCTTCTTGAGTCCATAATATAGATGTTACACTGCAAAACTATCTGTTGTGATTAAAGCACTTAAAATTACACGTGATTGATACAAATGTGATCTTTGATAAATAAACAATTAGAAATAAATGTAAATCTACTCGATAAAAGATCAGTTAAAGAGTATTTTATTTCAGTAGTATAATGTAGAGCCTATGCAAGTAATCCTTGACTTTTAAGTTTTATAAGATTTAAAGTTTGGATGATTTTGGTGAGATCTTCAGCACTTTATCAACATTATTGATATAAAACTATGTCAAATCTATACGAAAATTAATATATATACAATTTTGTATAAAAGTAGTAGGTTTAAACAGATCATATACAGCAAATAAGCAACCAATCTGAAAACGATGATATCCCAGAGAAAGCTAATTGTAATTTAGGTTTACTTTTATATTTGTTGTTTCTATTTTCAATAGATTTCATTCATAATATTATTTATACATCCGTATTGCTTGACCAGAAAGTCCACCAATGGCAGTGCAGTAAAGTGGTCACGTGATACAGGCGGAGACAGGTGACCAGTATACTGCTTTGCCATTGGTGATAGTTCTGGTCACGTGATTTAAGTTTCAGATTTTCAAAATTTTACATATATGAATTTTCGTATAATTTTAACACAGTTTTATATCAGTTTCTCGAGACAGGAACATCAGATAAAACTTTCATGGGTCGCGATCAAGAGCTAAAGTGATTAGCTTTCAGCCTATACCCCCTTTCATTTTTCCTTTACTGTCCCTTTAACAGTCTACAGAGTGTTCCCAATAAACATGAGAATTAAGAGACGACTTTAGAAAGTCTTTGATTTTCAACTGTAAAGATACAACGAAGGCAGACCCCATTTCGGAAAGCTTAAGACATGTAAATGATGACGACTTCTTAATTCCCATGTTTATTTGAACCTGTATAACTAACATGACAAGAAACCCAGATTTGATTGGTTTTAACTTTTGAGAGTCCGACTCTTTGTACGCTTTTCGGGTAATTTATCAATTTCAGATTTATCTGAATTTTAAATGAAAAAATTTCATATTTAGGAAGTGACTGCATTATAAAAAAGAAGGTTTAAAAATAAAGAATTCCCTATTTCCATTCCGTTCATAATGGACCACAATTCTTTAGTTTAAGTATGCGCTCTTCTATCTGGGCCTCACACTGTTTATGCTACAATAACTTATGTGAGTATATGAGATTGCCTGGTGTTTTCAAGTTTAATTTTTCACATTTTATTTTCAGTTGTTCTTAAATTATGAAATAATTGACAAAAAAGTTAACTGATAATCTGAGGTTTCTTTTTAAGCTAAAATTTTGGATAATCGATAATTATTGTTTTGAGCAAGAACATTCTTTTAAGAAACCCACGAGAATATGAAATTTTGTTTTTCAAAATTCAAAACATTTCAATTGTTTTTGAAAGTCCACGGGCAACGCCGGACATTGTAGCTATTATAGAATATATACGATTATCATAATTGACACATCCATTACGTTTCGCCTTTTTTGCCCTAACATGTTAGTTTACTCTAAAGATCGATATGAATTGTTTATTTAAGTCGAAATAAACTTATATTTACACACATTTAGTTCATACAAAATACAGACAATACAAAGTTAACATACGAATAAGAAAGCTTGAATTAAACCAAAAAAATGTTATCTAAATATTCTGTTTTATAATTTAAATCGCCATTTTTATGATAAATAAACCGATGGTTAAAAACATGAATGAATTTGANAAAAAGCCGTTTTTGAATTAGCCTATTAAGATAAGCTGCAGGCAATTTTGAATTCTTATCTTTATTTCCTGAAAATGCAGAAAAAAGTACACGTTACATTTTCTGGCGTAAACAAAAAAAATCCAAACCACAAAGAAAATTTTTTATAGTCCAGCCCCCCATCCCCCCATCCCCCCCAAAAAATGTACTTTCTAAAAGATCTGGATGAATCTACCCAGTTTTCTATTTTCTATGTTTTTGTTGCAGTAAATTATATTTTTGTGTTTGTGTTTGTAAAGTTTTGTTGTTGGGGATATTACGGAAAATATTTTGATGTTGTTTACAGCTATTTGGACAGAAGTTGGTAAAAACAAAATTATTATTGTAAACTGTTTTCAGGGAGGCTAGAGCCGAGTACTTGTAGGGAAATAAGACATTATAGTTTTTCATCTATAAACAGGATAATTTAACTGTCAAAATATCAGTGTATTTCCATTGGAGAATAATTTTTTCTTTGCGCTGATCAAAATAATTTACGTAGATTTTATAATTCGGTCTTTATCACAGCAAGCAGTGACTTCCGATCACAATTTGACCAATGAAGCATATATACTTCTCTTTTTTCATTTATCCTTTTTTTAACGTATAAAAAAGAATCGTGCCTTTATTTCTAATCCCTTTATCTTTGCAATGTGATAACCCTTGGATATTTCAAACTAACTTCTGTTTATATCAAATAATATAAATGAAATAATTAAAATATTAAAAGCTTACACCATCAGGTTACAAAGATATAGGATTAGATAATTGGAGTTTTTGGCAAACATACTGACCAGTTTTAATTTAGGAATTCACATTAATTTTCATTCTTTGTTAAAAGGGATTTTCTTGAATTCATTGATTTAACAAACTAATCGAATTTGTAAAAACAATTCCGGCCGTACTCTATTTTCTGAGATACCACGGTAGACTAAGCCAGTGGGGTCGGTCCAATAGGCCTAGGATTAGGCCGAGCACTGTAAAAAGTCTGAACGCCCTTCGCACGGGACTATGCCAAGAAAATTGACCCTGTCGTATGTAAGTCTAGTTAGGGCGACGTACTGTACCATAGGATCGGGTCAGTACACGCTGTTATCGGCAGGCCAGTACAAACTGGGCAGGTCCTTTTCGAATTCAAATTTACTACGGCCCAGAGTGATACATCTGTTTATACAAATATCAAATTATGTGACATGAGGAAGGGCACACTGAACTACAGACAGTTAGAAACATTTATGCGAAGTTACTGGTACGACCTTGTGACAGCATAAATCCCCTAGTTGTGAAAAGTAGAAGAAAAGATAATTTATTCGGTTAAAAATAAGAAATTTCAGACATTTTTTTTTTTTTTTCAATATCTTTTCAATAATTGGAATAATGATTGTAAATATATTAGATTTCAATCGTAGGTAGGACCCATAGAAGATCGTGGAATTACATTATTACATCGCAAAATAAAAACATTTTTAAATATCAACTTTATACCAATGCACCGAATTAAATACGATTTAATAGGTTGTGTAATATCTGAATGATTAATTTCAATTTTAATTAAATTATTTATTAACAATG